TACTAGTATCTAGGAGTGATACCTTTATGCCAGAACGTCGGTTCACAGTTTCAGGGTAATGAACAACATCAAGTTGTCATATATGCGTTAATTAGCGGCGCGACAGATAGATTGATTAACAATGACTTTCTAAGCCGAGTTTTCTTCCATAGCCTGGCAAATTTGTAGTAGTCTTACAGAGGACTTTCTCACCCATCCTAGCAACGAGATTAAATTTTCTAAAACACCGATAGTCAACTCATTACCAAATTCCTCAACTGTTAACCTTGATTAAATTGGTACTTTTCTTGAGAGACGTGATCTCAGTAGACGATATTCTTTTCTTTTTCCCAAAAGGTTGTAGCGGAAGGAAGTTGAAATTCTCACAAAGTGTTGTGAAATTCGAGATATCTTTGATCTTGTCGATTTTATTGACAATTTGTTAGCGATTTTTTGGCTAAGTGTTTTTCCTCACTTATCAATCGAGGAAAGTTAGTTTAGTTGCGATGTTGATTATGAATAAAGTTTTTGACAACCAAACTATTGTCTCACCTCACCTTTGTTTTACACCTTTCGATGACATTGATCATTTTGAAATCTATGATGACATGTTCTTTGGATGTTTCGGCTTTGTAGAGATAGCATGATGGAGTATTGCTTCTATTTCCCAATGTTTAGAATCGTTCGAAATGAACCATCTTATTCATGACCTAGAGTCAACAGTTGTCATCTTCATTTGAAAACCGAATATCACTTCTTTGTGGAGAAATGTGTCCAAAATCTTCAGCAAACTCACAAACTTCTCAAATACACCTTTTATTGAAAAGTGCTAAATTTCTAATAGCGATGATGGTGATACCAAATCAACGTCTACGATTGCACTATTGTGTATTACCCCGGTTGTGCAAACGTAATTATTATTCACCGTTGTAAAAGATGTATCTACCCTTGAAAACTTTCAGCCTGTCCAATCCCAATTCCAGCTAGAATTCTTGAGTATTGATATGATGTTATTTACAAATCATTAAGAAATCGTTCGAGTGGCTATAATCACTTCTTGTATCCGAATGGAGATGGGGAAATATCATCACAAGCTCCCGGTATGAGATATCCTATACATGTGGAGATTATGATGATGTTTCGGTGATTATAGATCGACTTGACAAATCAACCCACTTTCCAATGATCCAGAGGGACTACATTTTTTACCACTTGGGTAAAATTACTCATTCTTGAATTTATCAAATTTTTTGACGTTTCGATCAGTATTTACTCTGACTATGATTTCATATTCACCCCTCTGTGCCGGAAGGCATTCCAGTCAACCTTGAGTACATGTCTACCCTACTGGACTTCGTATTGTTTCTGAAGCAGACATACCGTCTTGGAGAATCTTCGAACCTTAAAATTTTGGTTGTGACGATTAATTCCTTAATCACCCAACAAATATTTTGCTGAACGAATCTTGACCATTGGTGATTGAATATTTAAGAGGCTACCGTTGTAGCGAGATATCATGCATTCAACCCAGTTATCTTACACTCTATATTTGATGGACTTATTTTGACCCTCAGATTCTTGAGTGTTCTCGCTGTGATACGTGTTTCACTTCCAAGTCTTGAGAAGTCTTCTTGAAAGTCATGGGTACTAAGTTGTTATTTCATACCACATTTTACATCAGACTAATGGCCAGGCTGAATGAACTGACTAGACCTTAGAGAACATATTGCTTTTGTATGTTTTACAATTTTAGCTGGTTATGTTAACACCTATCTCTTCTTATGTTGTGTACGATGATAGTTATTATTTTGGTTTGGCTATGGTACTATTTGAACCGTGGTATAAAGATTTTACACATGTAACATGTATTTGATTGATCAAGATTGCGATATAGGAAATTGTGTAATGTTGATGATGTTGCCCGAGAGGATAGTACGGGAGCGCGGTCGAGGCACTAATCAAACGATTCGTATGTGTTTTTCAATGAAGGGCAATATGGTAATATTGCATCCTCAAGAATTTATTACATGCTTAGTGAGACAACAATGCGTTATTAGCATTCCGAGTTGCAAACCATAATATTGATAACTCATTTATTGGATTCGTTAGGCAAGTGGACAAGTAGGTCCTTTTACATTAGCATTTTTTTTTATTTATTTATTGTTTGGGCTTGACCCAAAGATATTACACGTATTCTCCAAGTACGTGACCCTACGAGTGCGTAGGTGAAATTTTTCTATGTTCAATTTTGATTTCATTACCAACTATTTCTACGTTGTTGTATATACGTATTTTGATCTTATGTTTTTATATATCTGTTTTTGACCTTATGTTTTTATAAAAATATTATATTTTGGTATTGTATTGAAGGAGAATGAAAGTTTGAGTTTGGAGGCATGAAAGAGGAATCATTTCAATCCAATCGCGACGGAATGGCATTCTATTTTATGCAACCACTCTAGCTGATTTGTTCTTTATATAAATATATATATATATATATGTATATTTTTTTTCTATCTTAATCATTTTATGTACAACAACTTATTTCAAATTTTGGGGACGAAATTTTTTTTCAAGTGGGTAGATTGTGACAACCCATCCCTAATTTTACAATTTTATAAATTTTGAAAGTGTTGACCAAAATGCCCTAATAAGAGAGATTGTTGACTTTCTTTGACCGTCTCTTCGTGACGCATATGAGCTATTATTTTACCGTATTCTCGAAGTACTCGATGGTACGAACGTATAGGCATAAGCGGAATTGAATTTGGAGTTATGACAAAGATTTTACAAACTACGGAGCATGATGGGCGTTTTGGTAAATTCATGTTTCAGGAGATATTTTTCCTGCATTTTCATTGGTGACTTTGACCTATGTGCCAAGTGGGGCCCACACCATTCCTCCCCTCACTCCTGTGTGTCCTTACCTCTCGGGTCAACCTCTCATTGTTTTTCAAATCTCCCTCACCTCACTTCTCCACTCTCTGGCTGCCACTTCACCCTACCACACTCTCTCCAACTCTCCCTGTCTCTCCCTCAGCTCTTTCTCACTAGTTCTTCTTTCTGCAAGTGCAGGGATATTCGACCACTGTTCTTCCACTCCGGTGAGCTCCGCCGACACCAACATACACCCACCAATTTTCTCGACGAGTCACTACTTGGAGGATATTACTAAACCCAGAAATGTCACAGCTCGTCCCAAGTTTTTTAAATTTGTAAAATCATAAAAATAGCTCAGTTAGGGGAAGCTATTGCTAATGTGATTCAGTCTATTATCCGTCATTTCCAAAGGACTCTTCTTAAGTTGAAGCTGAATCATTTTATGGGAATGAAGGACCTGAGGGAGCAGAGCGATGGCTTAATTATTTGGAAAAGACGTTTCGGTTTATGCAAGGTCAATGAAATCTTCCTCCCGATAGGTGGGTCGAGACGACTACCTGGTTTTTGGGTCTTGAATCTGCATCCTGGTGGAGACAGGAAGCTTATCAATTGATGCTAAAGGAAACAGTTGATTTAAAATTGTTTAAAGTGTTGTTTCAGAAAAGGTTTATTCCAATGGCATATATTGATGGTAAGAAGCAAGAGTTTAAAAATTTGGGACGGGCTGTGACAAGAAACGTGTATGGAATTGAACCACCGCCAACACCATTTTCTCTGGCGATTTATCGTCAATTTCCGGTAACATGAATCTCGAAACACCCTTGATTTTTCCCATCTTGCTATCCTAAGCTTGTCTCTAAGGTTAGATCTATGTGTTGGTGATATTTTGGATGCCGAAAACACCCCTGGAAATTAACCTAGTTTTTCCGATGAGAACCCAATGGCTTTCGAGCTGTTTTTCAACAAAATCCAACCACAGCTGTCACATCCCGGACCCTGGGCGGATCACTTCCCGGCCCCGCTCCACCACCGTAGCACGATATTGTCCGCTTTAGGCTTACCATTCCCTCACGGTTTTGTTCTTGGGAACTCACGAGCAACTTCCCAATGGGTCACCCATCATGGGATTGCTCTAGCCCCCTTCTCGCTTAACTTTGAAGTTCCTACGGAACCCGAAGCCAGTGAGCTCCCAAAAGGCCTCGTGCTAGGTAGGGATGGGAATATACATTTAAGGATCACTCCCCTGGGCGATGTGGGATGTCACAATCCACCTTCCTTAGGGGCCCGACGTCCTCGTCGGCACACCGCGGCCAGGGTTAGGCTCTGATACCAAATTGTCACATCCCGGCCTAGGGCGGACCACTTCCCGGGCCCGCTCCACCACCGTAGCACAATATTGTCCGCTTTGGGCTTACCATTCCCTCACGGTTTTGTTTTTGGAAACTCACGAGCAACTTCCCAGTGGGTCACCCATCATGGGATTGCTCTAGCCACCTTCTCGCTTAACTTCGGAGTTCCTACGGAACCCGAAGCCAGTGAGCTCGCAAAAGGCCTCGTGCTAGGTAGGGATGAAAATATACATTTAAGGATCACTCCCCTGGGCGGTGTGGGATGTCACAATGGCTGAGGAAACCAATGGTACTATTCGAATCATTGTTCCCTGATCTTCGTTTTGGTATATTACATGTCCAGGTTTAGTAAAGTTTGTGGTTGATCAAAGTCTAGGTAGACATTTCGTGTCAATGTGTGTCACTTGTTTTTTTTTAATAATAATAATATTATTTTTAAATTTTTACAATATTAAAAAAAAAATTAAATGGACACCTGTTTATAACCATGGGTAATGTCCATAACCACTCATTTAAATTTTACGGGTAAACAGTTATACTAACTCATAACCGTTTATTTATCTAAATGGTTACCCATAACCGTAATCATGAATTTTAAATGTGCAGGTAACCGTAGCTACCCATAGGCATTTTGAATCTCACTTATGCGTTGGAAATGCTCTGAATCTCCTACAATGACCTGGATGATAGTTACCAGCTAGTTGTAATCACTTGGACCCAGAGAAGATGACATGAAAAATGGTTGATTTATGGTGGTCAAGTAAATTAATCACCGTGATCAAAGCATACATCGATCATAAAACCTTCTTTTCCTAGACATACTTGATAAAGTGATTACATGCATCGATCCAAATTTCCAGTTATCACTTCTAGGTAAATACAAAACACCAGCACCTGATTTCACTTTCCGACACCCAAAACAAAATTTCAGCCGTTTGAATCAAGCTAGCACATAATCTAGTAATATAAATCAAAGCTTTTAGCTTAAGAGGTGTCGTTGACAGCCTTGTCAATTTCTTCCACGTGATTCCGCAGCACATTCCACTGCACATAAAAATCTACTAGGTGAGAATTCTCTCAGGATTGATATGTACAAATAAAGAAATAATCAAGACAGGTGCCTACCTGATCCATCGTCAGCGAGATTCCTGAAAACAAGAGCAACCAACTCAGAAACAAGGCATCGCTTATCAATCAGAAGGCATGCTTAACACTAAAAGAAAACAAATATTGCTTTATCATTAAATTAATAGCTGTTGCTCTGATTTTTAATTAAGTCATGCCTTACTATTTGTCCGCAATGGACACAAACCTAAGGCCAACTTTAGATATTGCCAGTTAGAATTTTCAGGGCTCTAGTAAACCCCAGATTCTGAAAACCTTTCCCATCGGCCTTCCATACCTTTTGGAGCACTGTCCCTGCCCCACCTCATTCCCAAAATTGAGGCCTAATGGAAAATCTTGACATCCTTGGGTCACTGGACCTTCCTCCTTGCCTTGCCCTTCTCGAGACCTTTTGTTTCCTTCCCCAAATTATCGCTCTATTAAATCAACTCACTGTTATGCCTGCAAGCAGAATCTTGGAATTCATCAACCAGCATCTTGAGGTGCATAACGGACAACCCATTATCTGCCACCTTTCACAGCACGCCAATAGGATTCCATTCCCCCATCAAACCTGCCACATGTATCTCACCACCTTTTTCTCTCATCTTCAACACTTCCTTCAGATGGACTAAAACTTTCTCTAACCAACGGAAGTGAGATGGGTTAGTTCCCGATTTCAAAATTTTGACTGACTATAAGCTTCCAAAGATCAAGGAAAGAAGCCTATGTTTTTTCTATGCTCAATCTTGCTTCAAATAAATCACTTAAACTCCTCCACAACACTGTCCAATTTGTTAAAGGATTTCTCTCTTCCATAGAAAGAATGGCAGTCCCGCAATCTCAATCCAGCTAACTTGAAACACGATGCTGCATCTGGTAAGATTAGACAGATGATTCAAATTTCATAGATTCGCTCCCAATGAACCCTCTAGAACACACTTCCTGTGTTTCCCATCTTCCTCTACCTTGTCTTGACTCTTACAAAGCAACACTACTTTATTTGCTTGGACTGGTCTAAGTACCAAGGAACCCCAGGAGATTGAAAAATCCTCTTTCTTTCTTTGTTTTTTTCTTTTCCTTCTGATAATTGTTTGCTCAATCTGCACCGGCCTACCTCTTTTCCCGGTACAGAATGACAATCCTCCCCAACCCTCTTCCAGCAGTACATCCCAACTCCACGGTAATAAAAAAGCTTCTCCATCTATTGCTCTCTACAATTTGTAAAGCACCTATTCTTGAAATCCTCATCAACCTCTAAAACAAGAGTTTCTACACTATCATGAAATCCCGAGCCAAAAGTTTGTTCCTCATGAAAAAGCTAGAATTTTCCTAAGATATATAACATACACAGGAGAAAACTATATTCTCTGGTTCCTGATTAGAATTTCTCTTAACTACGGTCGAGTAGATTTAAGGTTAAAAAAGAGAACACCTTCGTTTTTCTACTTGTAGTGTGACAAGACTCCCAAAATTATAAGCACAAATCATAAATTCTCCAAATATGATCGAAATGCAAAAACCTAATATAGCAAATAGACAGTATAAACCCTGAAAGAGTAGAATTGCAAGCAAATACAACCACTTGAATTATCGAATAGAATAGAGAAAAATAAAATGTTAAAAGGGAAAGGTTACCCTTTTTTCCAGGCATTTGCTTGCCATCCTTGACATAGAACTCGCGAATGTCAACCACAACCTTGCCATTCCAGTTCCTCACGCTTACCCTTCTATTCTTGGAAATCTACAATACCCAAAAACCCAAAAATTAGACAGCAGTACTAGTCACACTGATAAACCCTAACCCTAACCCTAAAAATAGATGCAATGGCAAATTGCGCCAATGCAGAAAAAAGGACAAGAGGGGGGAAGGGTGGTGACCTCGCAGACAGTGATGTCGTCGGAGGAGTCGGAGTCCGTGTCTCTCTTGGAGGCCTTTTTGGGTGGCGCGTGGCCCTCAGAGTCCCCTTCCGATGCGTGATCGTCCTCATCTTTTCTCTTCCCTCTCCACGACATTCTCTCCTTGCTGCTTTTGCTTTCTCTCGCCTTTGCCTTTTTCACCGTCTTCCGTCCTTCATCCTTACCAATAAATACTCAAAACCCCATACTTTTTCTTTCCAGAGTACTTTAACAAAAAGCTACCGTTTATTTTAATAAAAAGTCATATTTTTATATTGAAAAGTTAATTTTAATACTATTTATTTTACTCTTTATTTGGTCATTATCATTAAAATTAAAAGTTTTCAAGTCCTTTTAATTAGTTTTTTTTATTTTTTATTTTTTATACATCCAAAGCCTAACAACAACTCTACCTAAATAAATAGTAATTGACTGTAATGAACAGTGATTGATTAAGTGCATTTTCACCTCTAAAACATGAGGTGGACAAGAGTTTAGTCAATTTGTATTAAAATATTATTAACTTTTTTTATAAAATAATAAAAAATAATTTTAGTTTTAATTCGGATAGAATTTTTAATCAATCTTGTCACTCTACGTGTTAATTTTGGAAAGTATAATATTTGTGAAAGATGGTTTGGTATTTTTATAATTTTTTATTAAGTTAATTAATCTGGACCTTTGAATTTGAAAAAAAAAAATGAAATCCAACAGCCCAAAAGTGGACATGTGGCCCATAGTTAGATTCTGACAATTTTTGTTTTTAATGCTGGAAGGCGTGCCCATGCGCGCTAGTGGCACAAAAAAAAAAAAATTTCACATGGCTAATGTTAGCCTGGGGTCATGTAGGGCAATCTCTTGCTCAGTCCATTATGTGTTGAGCTCAAAACTGACCTTCGCTTTAGGCTAGCCTATTGGGTGAGGTTGAGTGGGGTTTTTAGTGGGGGAAGGGGGGGAGGGTGGCCTAAAAAATAGACTTTGGGCTAACACATTTGTTAAGGGTGGAAGTGCTCTGAGCGTGGAGAAAATAAAGGGGATATAGCAGCCTAAGTTTTGAATTGGCCTTTTAGACAAAATGATCCTTGAGATTTGCATAACTCATCACTTTGCTCCCTGAGATTTGAAATCAATAGAAGTAGTCTCTAAGATTGTCCACTATCAATCATTTTGATCATTCCGCGAAAAATTATGTTAAATAAGGATCAAAATGACAAAAATACCTCAATTTAACATACAATAGGCCCAAATGATTTGACAAAAAATTGAGGGTATTTTTGTCATTTACTCTTATTTAATGGAGATTTTTTATGAAATGACCAAAATGATTGATGGTGGACAATCTCAGGGACCACTTCTATTGATTTCAAATCTCAAGTACTAAAGTGAGGAGTTATACAAATCTTGGGGACCATTTTGGCTAAAATGTAATGACTCGTTCCCCATTTTACGGTTTTTAATAATTTTAATTAGTGAATTTACAAAAAATGCCCTTTGAGGCAAATGCGTTGACTTTTGTTGAATGTCGTGTCATGTCATATAAGACTCGTTTTCTTGGCATATCCTAGTAGTACTCGTTGCTACGGACGCGTGGGCCCAAACGAAATGTAATTTGGAGTTATAACGAAGAAGTTATAAACGAGCAAAGTTAGGGTTAAAATGGTAATTTTGTTTTATTTGCTAGAAGGCTCTAGAAATTTAGGAGCCTTCCCGTCACATTTTAAGCCATGTGGAGGGCTATAATGGGGCAAGGAAGAAATTCCCCAATCAGAAACAGAAGAAAGGAGGGAAAATGAGAGAAGAGAGAAGGAAGGGATTATCCCAACTCGTTTTCCTTTTTGTCGACCCGACCCGAGTTTGAGTTATCCGGCATCGATTTTGGATGTTTTCCCGGCGATCTGGGCGTTGTCACCACCACCAAACGAATGAGCATGGAGTAATTGCCTATATCTCTCAATAGTTAGAACCGTTTGAAATGAACCATCCTATTCATGACCTAAAGTCAACATTTACCATCTTTGCTTGAAAATCGAATGACATTTCTCTGTGGAGAACGTGTCCAAAATATTTATCAACTTTAGATTTCTTAAGTACATATTCATCTGAAAAGAATCAGATTTCTAAATGTGATGGTGGAAGAATCTGGAAAACATCTACTCTTACACTATTGTACATTATGCCGTTTGTGCAAACTAAGTTACTATTTACCATCGCAAAAATTACCCTTGAACATTTCCAGCCATTCCTATCCCATTTCAACTGGAGTTCACCAACATTGATTTGACATTGGTTCTGAATTGTCAAGAATTGTTCGAATGATTATAATCACTTCTTCTATCCGACTGGAGATGAGGAATTATCACTATAAGCTCCCTATATGAACTATTTTGTACAGGTAGAGAATATGAAAATGAATAATCATGATGCTGAACCAATGCTACGCTTATGTGGTGTTTCAATTGGAGGTAGCTTTACTCGAGTGGAAGGCAGTGTTTTTCAAGCCCCAAAGCTTAAAGTCAGTAATGGTGATGAATTCTTTCCTTAAAATGGGCACTGGAATTTCAACAACAAGACACTTATGAAACCAACCAAGATAGAAAAGTAAGTTGTTATTAATTTCTCTGCACCCTGTGATGTAAAAGCCTTCACGATCTAATCATGTGGAGGTATGAAAGGAATTAAAATTGAGGCTCCACTTGAGGTGTTTGAAAAGAATTCTCAGTCTAGGCGCACCTCGCCTTTGGTTAAAGTAGAAATGATGTTTAAGGAAATAAAGTCCAAACTTCATGGACAACTACAGTTTCTTCTCTGTTTGCTTTCGGAGGATGATGGCATTATGAGAGAGCTGCTTCTAGACTTCTGTGCTAGTTTAGGCAAACTGAAACCCGACAAGATTATCATCTTGGCATATATATATATATATATATCTCACCGTGCTACACGTTTCACTTCCAAGCCTTTGGAAGTCTTTATGGAGGTTATGAGTAGTAGATTTTGTTTAGCATCACAGTTCCACTCCTAGACTAACGATTAGACTGGAACAAGTTACTCAGACCTTGGTGGACGTGTTGCATTTTGTTCGTCCCACCATTAGTTTGGTTACAACATAACACTATCTTTATTTTAGTTGCTTTTAACTACAACTACAATTTTGGTTTAGCTATGGTACCATTAGGGCCGACATACAGAGATTTTATGCACAGTACATGATTGAGAGACACTTACTCTTGTTAGATTTATATGTAAGTGTTGTTACATTCTTGGTTATGAGCATGGCATCGTTTGAGTAATGGTATAAATATTTATGCGCAGTATGTGATTTTCAGAAGAGTATTGCAAACAGGTATTTCAATCATTGAGATTGTGACATGGAAATTTTATGATATTGACGATGTTGCCTGAGAAGGTAGTGCGTGAGCGCAATGGAGGTTTTATTCAGGTGATGTATGTGTATTTCCCAATGAGGGGCAAGATGGTAATATTGCACCCTCGGGAATTCCTTGCTTGCTTGTTCAAACGACAGTGAGTTATTGGTGATGCGAAATAAATTAAGCACACAAATTAAACCCTCTTTTGACAATTGTAGCAAAGTATGTAAGTAGGGATCGTTCAAAACCGGGGATTAGGAGGGATTGCTAAACTCTTGAAAACTGACCTAAGAACTCGAAAACAAAGTTAAAAACACTAATTTGGACTCAAAGAATGAAAAACCAAAGTTAAAACACTAAAACAAAACAAAAACTCAAAGCAGCAACTAGAAGACTCAAAACTGCCTAAAAACCACTTTCTGGGCAGTTTTGAGCACCTACACTAATTTGGACGAAATTGGTTGAAAACTTGACTCAAAACACTTAAAAACATGAACCAAAACAATTTCTAACTAAATTGAGACTTCAAAGTAAAGGGGGATTTGATTTGGACGAAATTAAAGTTGAGAAAACAGATTGCAAAGTAAAACTGATTTTGAAACGTTTTTGGGGTTTTTAATGGATGATGGACTAGTTAGGGGTTCTTTCTCCACACATGACAAGTATGCAAATGACTCGATTTCTAGTTATTCCTTCCTAGAATTATGAATGACAATGCCCCAAATTAACCGTGACATCACTAGTTAATTCTCAAGTTTTCCTTGTGTTATTGAATTGGATGACATCATACGACAACCCAAAGCATTCTTCAAAAGTTCCTTACATGACATCATAATAAAGATACAATCAAAGATCATTACGTTCAATGAAAACTATAAGCATTGACAAAGCACTTGTGACTATGACATCATGACATTTATGCTAGGAATTGAACTTAACGCGATTGTGACTAGCAACCTTCACTACTTGTGAATATAAGTGTGTGACAATTATGTGAAACAAACTTATATTCTAGCATCATATTCATGCAAGCCAATTAAGTGTCGACCCCTAATTAACAAACACAAATACGTTATTACTCGCACAGTTAAGCCAATTGCATTCACGATTCAAGAACTCATAACTGGAATTTATCAAATCACTTGCACACATAGTTATGGCTTCGAAATCACCCCTAACCAATAGGGGTTTAGCCACTCATGTTCATAGCAAAATGAAAGGAAAATAAATTAAACATTGAAATCATAAAACGAATTACACCTAGAATGCACCAACGACGAAGCTTGAGCATCCAAGAGTCCTTCCTTCTTTCTCCTTGCTACGGCACAAAGGTGGATAGGATGGTTGGGATGTGTTTTAGGATCAGGGATTATGGAATTGGATGGAGGATAGGCACGGCAAGGTGTAGTGTTTGGCTGGAATTGTGTTTCTAGGATTTTAGGATGTGTAGAGTGGTGTGGCTAGATGAATGGACGAAAATTGGGTGAATGAGTGATCCCCTTAGTGCCTTGCTGCAAAGCCTTATTTATAGGGCTAGGAAAGGTTTAGAACTTAGTTGAAACCAAAAGGTTTTGTACCAGAAATTCTATACATGAAACACTTAAAGGATATATGTGTGTAGCTTGGACAATGTAGGACGGCTTGGACAAGGTAGGAGACAAGATAGGATGGCTAGGAGACAAGGTAGGAGACAAGCTAGGACAGCTAGGAGACAAGCTAGGGCAGCTAGTGACAAGCTAGGACGGCTAGGAGACAAGCTAGGACGGCTAGGAGACAAGCTAGGACGGCTAGTGACAAGCTAGGACGGCTAGGAGACATGCTAGGATG